TGTGTGAGTGTGTGTGTGAGTGTGTGTGAGAGTGTGTGTGTGTGAGTGTGTGTGAGTGTGTGTGTGTGTGTGTGTGTTTGTGTGTGTGTGTGTGTGTGTGTGCAGGTATGTACACATGAGTGCAGGTGCCCATGAAGGCCATCGGCATCAAGTCCCCTGCAGCTAGAGTTACAGACAGAGGCCATGAGCCCTCCTTCCACGGGCACTGAGAAAGGAGCTCAGCCACCTCTCCAGCCCCCAGCCAGGCCCTTTTACTTCTTAAGAACTAAATAGAACTATTTCTTAGCAGCAAGGGGAAGAAGTTCTAAAAAAAGAGGGCAGTGTGGGAAGCGTTTTTGTGGACACTAGATGATTATTATCTTAGACAGCAAGACTTCTCAGCTCTACCTTATTGCATCCTGATTCAAAGCATACAGAACCAGGAGTGAAATCAAGAGCCTGGGGTCTTTCTAGCATGTGGCCTGGGCTTGTTATTTCTGTCTGACTGCAGCACTGTGACCCTTGGCCCAAAGGATCAATAAAGTAACATGTGGCTGACAAAGAATATATATATATATATATATATATACATACATACATACATACATACATATATATATATATATATATATATATATATATATCCCCTACCACATCCCAAAGGAAGATTCAACTCAGGCCCACAAAACAACACAGTGATGCTTTAGGAGGCCAATCTTGGCAAAGACTTCTGGAGGAGCCTTAGAGGAATTCCTGACCAGAAAGGAAGGAGGGAAATGAAGATTACAGAACTATGAAAAACTAGTTTAAACTGGGAGATTTTTTACATCCCAAACTGAGTAATTAGAGGACAGGGAAAATATATTACTAAGTTTTGCATTGCTCATAAGTATGGGATTGAAAATGACAGAAATCAGTCTACTGAATGAAGAAAATCAACTGGTCCTTAAAGTCCTCCTAAGTTGAAACTAAAGGAGGTGTTCTGAGGGTCAGTCTAAAGAAGACAAAGCAAAAGCAGAATGCACACCCTGCATGAAATTTAATCACTGTGAACTCCAACGAGACTTCATTTTCACAGCTTACTGTATAGTCTGCTTTTATTATGTATGTGTGTGTGTGTGTGTGTGTGTGTGTGTGTGTGTGTGTGTTGGGGGTAGAGAGGGAACATGAATGGTGAATCCACACAGTAGTTGGGGTTTGGCTTGTAGTAGTGGGATGCATACGGCTCATTCAGTCTTCCTTTTAGTACAAGTATAACACTAAATGTGAAAAAGTGGATGACGGACTTTCTTATATGATAGAATAAGTATAGAACTCAAAGTCACGACAAGGTAACTAAATGAGGACTTAAGTTACTTCAATAACTGTAACCCTTTTCCTGCAGATTTCATAAAGTCTAATAATTTACCAGTTGGGTAAATGAGCTTGCCTACCCTTAGTTCTCTAAAGGTCACATAACAGAAAAGAAAGAATAACATTTTCAGTATTACATCATAGGCTTGGCTTTTCCCTAAAACCTCTTCCCTTGCTCCCAAAAATGGTAATTCAGTCAGTACTATAGTCTGTGAGAAAATTTACACACAGCCTGAAGTGACTTACTCATCAGAACAGACAAAAATTCAACCTTGAGATTTTCCTAGACATAGAACAGTCATATGTGTAGGTCAGACAAGGAATGAAGCTACTTCAATAAGGAGGAGATCCCACAAAATGCTGCTGGACTGTGACATGAACTTCTTATCTTCTGCACTGCTCCACACTTGACTGCAGCAAGAACATCACCAACTAGATAGTTAACCCTAATTGTGCATGCTGCAACTCCCAATAAAAACAGTCAACATCAGGCTGGATACTCTCCGCTCTGAAATGTTTTCTAGACACTGTCTAGTCAGGGAATAGACTCTAATTCCCCTTCTACCTGAGCTTCAAATCCACTAGCTAACTTAATATGCAAAACCGAAACATTCTGGGGACACTCCTCACAGCAACGGCTTAGTTGTCTGACAAACAATTATGAAAAGAAGAAACACTAAACCAGAACTGGATTTGCAAAGGGAACATGATGGGGTTTACGAACTCTTACTTTAAGGAGATGGAATGTGTCAAATGTTTCTATTTGTAGCAGAACTTTCCAGTTATAAACAAGAACCAAGAAACCTATGCATCTATAGAACACAGAAAACAAAGAGGTGACTAGCTACTTTAAGGAGAACAGTAAACTAGGCAAAGGTTAATATGCCAAAACAGTTTAAAGACATGAAACTACTCCAGCAACTGAAGAACATTAGTGAGCAGTAATCAACAGGCCAAGTGAAGACAGAAGAAGAGATATCAGAAACACAGAACCCTCCAAGATGTGTTTGGAGGGAAACAAATTTTATGTCTTTATTTCACATTTTTATGTTGCATTTACTTGTGGTCACCGGTCTGTGTGTGGATATGTGCATACCATGGTGTGCATATAGAAGTCAGAGGACAACCTTCAGGAGTCAGTTCCCTCTTTCCACCACGTAGGTCCCAGGGTGTGGGATCAAGTCAACCTTTATCCACAGAGCCATCTCTCTTACTCAACAGAGAAAAAGAGCTTCACTGCTTAATGCAAACTGTGTTCACCTCCACTTAACCAAGCCCAAAACCTCAGGACAGAGAATATGTCAGAATCCAATCTTAAATGTCTGTAGTTCCATGGTTATTTTCAAATTTTTGCTTGTGGAAAGAACTGATATATTATTTAATATGTAGATTACACTACAAAACTAACTTGTATGCAGTTCAACTGTAATGAATTTACAAAGTTTAATGACTGTCACCACAATCCATTGTGGAATCGGCCACCATTCCGAAGTGTTCTCTGCTTCGTACAGCTTATGCCTATCTCTCCCTCCAGCCCCAGGCAAGCTGGTTCAGATATCTCTATAAAGCTCTTTTCCAGACATCTCACAAAAAATTAATTATATAATATGTATAGTCTCTTGTACCAGGATTCTTTCACCCAGTGTATTTTTCAAGGTTCATCCAGTTGTGACATATTTCATTAAATGGGCACTTTTAACTGCCCCAAAGCACCCCATTAGGATATATACTTTTGTTTAGCCACTTGCTAACCTATGTGACTTTCGGATGCTCTGATGCAGGACGCTTGATGGGGCCTCGGTGAATAGCCAGGCATATGTCTTGGTTTGAGAAAATGTGTTGTTTTGTTTTCCTTTTGTAGATCCCCAGGAACAGAACAAACAAGACTAATGGTCTGTTGGTCTCTTAATTCCCAAATAGAGACATTTGGCATTATCTCATACACTTCTCGGTCCACAGTTCCTTATTTCTAATCTAGCTCCAGGAGTGACAATGGGATGGAAGAGTATGCTGGCTAGTAAGTCAGTATTTCCAGTTTTAGGATTCAGTATTTCTCACTACTGGAGAGGCTTATGGACCCAGGACTATAAAGCACAGACAGTGAGAACAGGAGAAAGAGAAAAAGCCTTCCTCACATTCCTACACAGCACACTGACAGGAGATTTTTGTAAGGAAGGTGCTAAGGACTGAGAGCAGGGGCTCCTACATACTTGTCAAGTGCTGGGACACTGAGCTACACACACTCCCACCCCATAGGGCTCTAAAACAACAGTGTGCTATTCTACAGATAAATGAACCACTCTTCTGTGAAGGAAGAATTCTAAAAACTCAACAATTTTCCTTCTCCTGTATTTTCAAATAGCTTGTAACTGCATGGTACTGCAATGCTGTAAGAAAACAATCGTGCCTCATGCTCCTTTAGTGCTTATGACACTCATCTGGGCTACGAGCACCAGGAATAAAAGAGATTCAGGGCATACAGGCAGTCATGACTCAGTTTTTCAAAATTTAAGTCACGGGTAATGATCAGTAAAAAATATATCAAAGTAATGTGGGGTGGAGGGGAATTACTCAAGAAAAGCACTGCCGAAAGGAGACTTGAAGACTCAAGTGCACCATTTTGGTGACTTGAAAATCTAACGTCAAACGTGTTAACAAGCGAGTCACAGGAGAGATGCACTTGGGAGTCAGTAAGACGGAAGTGGCTCTCGTGGGGATTCACAGAACCTCTCTCTTCTCCAGGTTCTCAGCAGAGTCTGTCTGGTGCTGTCTGAGGATCCTGCTCGCTCCTGAGACTGTCCTACCACAGCAGTGGTGTGACGGAGGGGAATAGAGAGGCTCCACTGTCCACTACTTGCTTGTTTTCAATTAGTCACTTTGTAAGAACCCGACACTGTACATCTGCACCACTACCAAAGGTGGCAGCATAAACCTTAACTCTTGGTTCTCTGAGCAAAAAAACAAAACAGGAGAAAAGAACCTCCGCACTGCTGCACTGAACTACCAATTCAGCTTGCTTAATGCAAAGCCAGGGGCCACGCCACGGCTCTGTTTGAAGGATTTATTTCTAATTAGGGAAATCTGATGTTAAATGCTATAAACAGAAGGAAAACAAAACTGTGTCCATGGCCACGGTGACTTGGAAGACATTTGAAGGAAAGTAATGAAAGTGCGTTAGTCCCAATTTTAAATTTAAAAACCCAAGCTCACATGAGTTAAAGCAGCTGTTGCTGCTCACTGACAATGGAAAGGTTCTAGTTTATGCATACATTTCATGGAGATGCTGGACAAACCTGGTTTAGGGTCCACATCGATAAAAGGAGACTCTCAAAGGTCTCCCGTTTCCTGTGCTCACTCACTAAGTTCTAGTCTCAGAAGGCAGGGGGAGAGTGTGGCAGAGGGAACGCCCCCCACCTCGGGAGGGAAGATTGGGGGTGCACACTTTCCTCTCACATAGATAGTAAAATGTCAGAAAGGATAGTTAACTCAAGGAAAATCAGACCTTGTTCTAACCAGGTGGCCATTTTAGGTTAAAAAGGAAAACCAAACTCTGAGACCTTGTTGCCTGGCACTCAATCACTGTTTACAATTAAGCTAAAAAACTTGTTCTGGTATTTTATGACATCAGGAAAATTCTTTCTTCTCTAGGCAGATTGCCAAAAACAACTAGACGCTAAATGCCTGTGCCTTCTGTGTCTAAGACACACGACTCTGTCTTGTTCAGTCTCAACTAGCTTTGCTCTAAAAAGGCAAAAAAAAAAAAAAAAAAAAAAAAACCTTTTTTTTTTTTTAAAAAAAAAAAAACAACAGGAAAATCTCAGTAACATACTAATATATTTCCTTAGCACTACAGAAACCCAACAGAAGAGGGAGCTATCATAAGACTTTTAAACAATTCATTCCTCAGCACAGGAATTTAATTAAAATTTCTTTTAAAAAATAAGGTGCTAAAACTGTAAGTCTAACAGTAGAATATGTATAATACAATATTATTTAAGACAAAACAAAAAACAAACATGAACACTTCATTCATAGCTCACTCAAATAATCAGGAATAAAACCTTGTTTTTAATCAGTTATTTCCCTTTTTATTTCAGGTATGCCTGCCGATCTAATTTAAAGATAACCAGGAGGCTGAGAGAGAAAAAGGTGAGATTCAGGGCCAAAGGAAGGGAAATGGGCAGCTTACCTTCTTCCCCAAACTGATCATATATCTCTCTCTTTTTAGGATCACTCAGTACTTCATAGGCTTCTGCGACCTCTTTAAATTTCTCCTCTGCTTGCGGGGATTTGTTCTTGTCCGGGTGGAATCTGAGGGCTTGCTTTCGGTAAGCCTTTTTAATGTCTTCATCTGTAGCTCCTTTTTCAATTCCCAAAATGTAATAATAGTCTTTCCCCATTTCGAATGCCTTGAAATGAACTTAGCTTTCCCTTTGTAAAAGAAAACAGCGTCTCCAGTCTTAGCAATACAACGATTCTGAGAAAATAAGGCAAGCTGGCTATCTTAAAAGTTAAAGCAATCAGCGACTCGGCTCCGCTGTCTGGAGGCAGCAGGCAGCAGGCAGCGTCTCTTACGGATAAATATACCCCACACTAGAGAGACACGGCCTCCTTCTAGGCCCTCCCATTCTCACTACGTGTCTCTGCACTTTCTAGAACAGCAAATGCTACAGGACGTCACTTTCCCAGCGGCCTCTAGGCAAAGTGCTGGGCCTGTCCCTCCTCCATGGTTAACCATTCCCTTTCCTCTGGCTCTCCCATCTCATTTCCTGTGGATTTAACAAACCAGTATTTCAGCACAGAATGCCTGAACCAGAGATGCATTTACTTCATCACAGGCAAAGAGGCAACAGAAATAATTAAAGCCATTAGGTATCCCATCTTAAAGAAATTATACAAATAGAAAAGCCCTGAACTTACTGTAGGTATTCCAATTTCAAGTTACCCAGCTGTACAACAGCAGGACTAAACCATGAGGTATTTACATTTAAAGTCTTCAAATAATTTGGGTCATTTTCAAAATTCCAGGGGGCTTTCAATCTGAACGGTGAGGGGCGGTCACTATATGAAATTTCACATGGTTGAAAAGCTATAATAAAATAAAAAAGCAGCATTTTAACGTAAATGACTGGAGAGTGATTTTAACTAGTTTTTGGTAACATTTAATAATTCATTATTTGTAAAAGCTCATTGTCTGTGTTCTTATTGTGAAACGTAAGATCCCATTCCAAGGGTTACTGTTTGCCTAAAGCAGGAGGGTTCGGGAGGCTCACATTTCAACAGGCTCAGGTTCACAGTAAATCTCACCCTGAATCAGCTTAAAACCTGGGTATGCATCAAGGTGACAACTACTTTAAAGCACATTTCCCCTCATTTTAAATATGTACTTAATGACAAAGATTTTTGAAAACCTGGGGGGAAATCCCCCCCCCGTTTTTTTTTAGTATTCCCTGTTACTATCAGTATATTTTCTTTTAATTCTTTCAAAAAACATTTATTGCAAATTGCTGTAATTTTTTTTGCAAATTGCTGTAATTTTTTAATCAACAAAGTTTAAATCGCATTTACATTTGTATGTCATGTGATGCTTTCTCCTACAATGTATGTTGAATAAATGAGAATATTTTGAATGTATATAATTCATCTTTTATCTCTTATATGGGTTTTCAATCTTTTCCCAAAATGTTCCCATTTCTAGGTGAACTTAGTTTCTTAGCGAAACTAAGGCCTTGGATACAGTTACTAGGCACGCCCTCACCACTGACTATACTGCAGCCACACCATTTCATAGGATATTGAAAAGATGGATTGCTAAGACAATGTCCAAAGAAATGCACTCAGTTCACACTGCATTCTGGCTAACACTTGATGACTCGGCACTTCTGAAGGCTTACCTTTGCTGCACAGCTATAACAACTTCCTAGCTCTCCAAGTCCCTCCCACAGCACCTTGCTGATGGGAACCTGGCACACCTGGCCTCTACAGCCAGAGCTTAGTGAGCCATCAACAAACATCAATATCAAAAGACTTGTCAAATCCAGAGAATCTGGGAGAAGATATTATCAAAAGTCACCATGAGACTGCTATTTTGAAAATGCACACACCAGATATTTTAAGTATCTGCTTGCTGATACTGGTGTGTGTGTGTAGCAATGGGAGAGAATATCCAAAGAAGAGAAACTACAAGTGGTAACTGGCATGCTTTCCCCCTTAAAATTAAAGGCTAATATATTTTTGTCCAAGTATTAAAGTAGGGCTAGCACTTAAGGTTCTTATTTTACTATTAACTGGTAAGTTGACATGAAACTACACTTCTCTCGGTTTTATTACAGTATTGAAGCTAGATGTCTCACACCAGGAATTTCAGTACTCAGAAGAGCATGGATTTATTTTCCATATCTATCAAAAAGCTTAAATGTGATCATTTTATGAAAGTTAAAGCAGCCAAGTTTTCATGCAATAGTACAGAGAAGGGAAACACCACTCTACTTTGTCTTTTAATCAGGCTTCCTTGCTTGGGGTATTATGCTTCAGTGATTGTAGAAAAAGTATTTGAACACAGAAGATGGCATTTAAACCCCCAAACCTACAAGTATAACACATCATTCCACTGATCCCACCTTTTTCTAGTTTAGTACTCCTGAAAAACAAAAACAAATCCCAGCTGTGGTAATGGTTCATGCCAACATCCCAGCACTCAAGAGACTGAGGCAGCGGAAGATCAGCCTAGGGTACTCAGTGAGCTGGAGGCCAGCCTCGACTACAGAAGAAAACCCTAGCTTTTTTTTTTTTTCTAAGTCACAAATCAGTCTCTGTATATAGACTTGCAGGTCTGGGATGACTTCTAGGATTACTCAGAAGAAATTTATTTCAAATTAGGTCACTAAGAAGGCTAAAGCACGAGGATAGCAAGTTTGAGGCCAGCCTGGACTACAGAGAGAAACCCTGTCTCAATAAATTAATGAATGGATTCAGATAATCTCAAATACTTGAGAACAGATCACCTACTGTTTTAATGATGCGCCTGTTAAAAACCTTTTCCATCAGTATTTACTCTTTGAACAGGTCGTGTTAAGTCCTGATGTTTCTCATAATGAATTTGTATCATGGCTTCCAGTCCCCACACTCCTACCCAAGAATAAGCAACATAAGGCTCTTTTATGCTGTGTTCCTAGTGCTTCTGACAGTTGAATGTCTCACCTCAAACCTAAGTATATCCAATAGTCATTAAGTCTGCCAGGTACGGCAGTGTACTGTAATTTCAGAACTTGGAAGCCTAAGGCAGGACAATTGCTATTGAGTTTTAGAATAGGCTGGGGTATAGAGTGAGTTTCGAGCCATCCTGGGCTACATGGCAGAACTATATATAGCTTTAAAGAACAACAACAACAAAAAAGAATGGTGTAGGTCTCCATGAGTGGAAAAAGGTAAAGGAAGGGAGGAAGTGGTTTAAAGAAGTTGTCTGGGGCTGGATTGATGGCTCAGAGGTTAAGGGCATTAACTGCTCTTCCAGAGGTCCTGAGTTCAATTCCCAGCAATCACATGGTGGCTCACAACCATCCGTTATGAGATCTGATGCCCTCTTCTGGTGCACAGGGATACATGCAGACAGAACATGGTATATATAATAAATAAATAAATCTAAAAAAAAAAAAAAAGAAGTGGTTGTCTGAAGCACAAATTCTGGAGTCAGGAGTTCCTGGATTAGAATTCTGGTAACTCCACATGCCAGCTGTGTGGCCCGGGATCTAAACTCTGTGTCTCAGTTTCCTTATCAGTCAATTGGGGGTTAATATAAATATCAACTTTGTAGGACTACCGTGTGGATTAAATATGATGTGCAGTGTATTTAAATATTGTTGACACTGTGAAAATTAAAGGTGTTAGCTACTTTTATGATTTTATTACATGAAACCCAACAACTTCCTTTCAGTAAACAGCCATGCAATGTGTAATATTCTTGGAAAATTACACACACATAAATGCAAACATGGTTATGCAACATCCCTGTTAGCATATGCTACTTACACACCTTGAATCTGTCAAAAGTGAAAACCACGGTGGTGGTGGCCCAGGCCTTCCATCCTAACACTCCAGGGAACATGTCAGGCAGATTTTAATTTTAAGGCCAGCCAGATCTACATAGATCTAAGCTAGCCAAGACTTCACACAGCTAATATTTCTCATACTTCAAATCTGATTTATTGATTATAGGCAGGGGTCTCATTGTGTCACCCAGTCTGGTCTCGAGGTCCTGGAGTCAGTGAGATGTGGTACTCACCTGTAATCCCAGCACTTGGGAGACAGAGGCAGGACAGTCAGGGATTCTAGATCAGTCCTGGATCACACCGAAAGTTTGAAACCAGCTTAGGCAACACGAAACCCTGCCTCAAACTAAAAACAAAAGCCCCCGAAACAAACTCCTTTCTCCTCAGCCTCCTGAGTAGCTGGGGTCACTGACACACCCCTCTGCTCTGCAAATATTCTCAAAATGCGTGTGACTGACTCAGGAGTCAGAGGCTCTTCTGTCAGCCTCAATTTCTGTCTCTACTTCACACAGCTCAGTCATTGGATCCCTTCAAAGCTGTCCATTCTGGTTAGAAGACAAGCACAAAGATGCTACAAATGAATCAAGCAGGGTGTGTGGTGGTGCAAGCCTTTAATCCCAGCCCTCAGGAGGCAGAGACAGGCAGATCTCTGAGCTGGAGGCCAGCCTGGTCTATAGAGAGCCAGGACTACACAGAGAAACCCTGTCTCAGAAAAGAAAAAAGAAAACAAAACTACAAATGTCTAAAGAACAAACATTTGTATATTTATATTCTTGGTTTCTAATGTCCGCTCTGCCACTTAAACTGGTGAAACTGGGGGCTGCAGAGATGGCTCAGCGGTTAAGGGCACTGGCTGCTCTTCCAGAGGACCCAGGCTCAACTCCCAGCACCCACGTGGCAGCTCACACCTGTCTGTAACTCTAGATCCAGGGCTTCTGACACCCCTACACAGACAGACATGCAGGCAAAACACCAATGATCATAAAAAGTAATAAAAACGACAGGTGAGACGGCCCTGTAGTCTACCTTAAAGAGTATTATTTTAAGCCGGGTGTGGTGGTACACATATTTCATTCCAAGACTGTCTCTGAGCTGGAGGCCTGCCTGGTGGACACAGTGAGTTCCAGGACTTGGAGCCAAAGAAAACCCAGAAAATCCCAAAATGAAAACAATGAAATTTATGACGTGTACATAAAAACTTATCACCATTTTAAGCTGTACAAACTACTTTGCGACAGTGGAGGTCTTCTGATAAGGTCTTTACTCTGGATTGTAGTTTGCCAAAACATTACCCAAACCAGTAACTGCCAGGCCAACCCTCAAAGGAGTCAGACACCCCATACGATCATTCTGCAAGCCAAGGGTCCTTTGTCAGACTTTTATATCTGAATCCCATTCTTTTCTTACATAGAGGAACTCTGCCTTTCTGATAGCAGCAATTATATAACGGCAGTTTAGAAAATACTTCTGTATGTTCTCTGATTTCTTTGCTATTTGTGTGCACATGTCTGGTATTTAAGCAAGAGAAGCTTTCATAAAGCTTTCAATAACTATGGTCTAACAAGCTATGATATTCTTTTGAAAGTTTTTGTTTTGTTTTTTGAAGTTTCTTTCTGTAATGCAAGTGGGATCTGAACTCACGATCCAACTGCCTCGGCCTCCTAAGTCTGGAATTGCAGGCAGGAGTCTTGATGCCCAGCAGCCATGATCACAATACTCAAATAGACATTATTCCAGCGTCAGCATGAAAAAGAGCACTGGGCTGTGTCCTCTGTCATTTCGCCCATTTTGGGAGGGTGTCTAAATTCTTCTCTAAAATCAAACTACTAGTCATCTACTAATGACCATGACTTATTTACACTTTAACACTTTGCTTAAAAGCCTGTGGACACTAATACAACTGTCAAGTCTGGAACCCAGATTCCAAATTTCCAACTTTCAGACTTCATAATGGTTAAAATGCCAATAACTACAGCTTTATTTTAAAGGAAAAATTTTTAATTTTTTTTGTTTTGTTTTTCAAGACAGGGTTTCTCTGTATGACAGACCTGGCTGTCCTAGAACTCCCTCTGTAGACCAGGCTGACCCTAAACTCACAGAACCTCTGCCTCCCCAGTGCTGGGATTTAAGGCAAGCACCATCACACCTGGCTGGAAAACAATTTAAAGAGATTGCTCTCTCTCTCTCTCTCTCTCTCTCTCTCTCTCTCTCTCTCTTCTCTCTGTGTGTGTGTGTGTGTGTGTGTGTGTGTGTGTGTGTGTGTGTGTGTGTGTTGCAAGGGATGAGCCCAGGGCCCAGTGGAGGTTAGGCAAGCGCTCTACTATTAAGGACTCTATCTCCAGACCTTACCTCATTTAGGTTATAAGACAGAAGACAGAAACTTAAAGCAAGTAACATTAAAACATTACCCTATTAAGATTAAACTGTGTGGGGGGCTGGAGAGATAGATGGCTCAGAGGTTAAGAGCAGTGGCTGCTCTTCCAGAGGTCCTGAGTTCAATTCCCAGCAACCACATGGTGGCTCACAACCATCTATAATGAGATCTTGGGCCCTCTTCTGTTGTGCAGATATACATGCAAGCAGAATGTTGTATACATAATAAAAAATAAAATTTAAAAGATTAAACTGTTTCTTGGTAGAGAGCAGAGGCCAACTTGGCTTCATAACAAGACCATTTTGGGGGGTGGCGGGAGAGGCGAGGGTTCCAGGCAGGGTTTCCTTTGTCGCTTTGGATGCTGTCCTGGAACTCTTTATACAAGGGTGGTAGTGAAC